CAGGTTGCCGGTTTTTGCGTTAACCATGAATGGTGGTCGAGTAGATCATGTTGTGCGGGGTTGAGAACCCTCACTCCGCGCGAAGGGGATAATCGCACGTTGTGTTAAACTGGTCAAGCACCCTCGAGGCAGTTACACAGCGCTTGTAACTGTCTCTGGAAGTGAAAGCACCACAAAACAAATTAAGTCATACGCAGCCATCATCCGTACGCAAGGAAGTAAGCACAAGATGCCGAACACCCTTAGCAGGATGCAGCTCACCAATCATGCGACTCGCCGAATACCTCACGGCGCATCGCGCTTGGTGATGTGAGAGCCTGGTCCGGTGAGAACCCGGCGTGCTCCGTCCCGGCTTTGCAGGGATGCAAGGTCAATGGGCTAACGACTACGGCATGCACGACTATGAGTACCCCCCCCCCCTTCCCTCTCTCTGTCTACGGCCCCGACGGCATGCACGACTATGAGTACCCCCACCCCCCTTCCCTCTCGGTAGCATTACCTGGCCGGCGCCGAGAACCTCGTCGGCGACCCCGTCCCCCCTTGACAGCTCCGGTCGCCTCCTCTGGGCGATGATCTTCATTCCCATCGCCTTGGCCTTCACGGCCGCCGCTTGGCCGATGTCTCCGTACCCGACAACCCCCAGAGTAGCACCCAACACCTATTTACGCGTGGAAAGTTTGTCGTTCGTGCCCCGCACATGAGTCGCGGGAAAACGGGCCACGTGTATTTGCCGAACACGACGCACATGGCAAGGTGTGATCATGGGATGCAGCAAGCCATTCCCGGGTGCCGGGCGAACAAGGTGTACACCTAGTGTGATTTTGTGGTTTGCGTTGAACAAATCGGGAGGTGTTAAGGGGACGGAGGTAATCTTGCGGTCTGTTGATGTTTGGCTACTGCTTCCGGACGCCGGTTAACGGATGCAGCTGTAGCTCATTCCTGACAGCATTGTTAAATTCGAAAAGAAAGGGGGCGGGGGGGCGGTGGATCATGAACTCAAATGTCCCGACAATGTAGTGTCCAGGCAGCCAGAAGGTCAACCCGCCGTAAAAACAAAACACCAAGACCGCCGGCCGCTCAAAACGATAGCGGACAGAAGGCGGTGAGGTGAACAAAGGACCAGATATGAGACAATATACGACATACTATACGTAAACACCGAAACAATGCCGAGGTCGTATATAGAGTAGGAAACAGACGTTCCACAGAGAAGGTGGCCAGAAACTTCCATCGTCGCACCTCTGACACGCAGAACTGGTCCCATTTCCTGTCTCGTTGGTTCCTCTTCCAGCGGTCCACGTCCTTGGCGAAGTACAGGCACGATAGAACCGCGTGCTCCGCAAGGGACGAGCTGAACAACCCCCTTTCGCGCCGCAGCAAGTGACGCGCACAGAAGCATGCGAGCGAACAAACCGGAGAGAAGGAGCGGGAGGAAAGAGAGGAAGAAGAGGTCAACGTTTGTTTTTGGCGCCACGATAAAAGCCCAAATGCACACGTCAAAGCACGCAGCGACAGGGCGGTACTTCTGTGGGTTTCGGGATGGCCAGTCCCCCCGTGTGTTTCGAACGAACGTTAACGTTAGTGTGCAACGAGCCTCCCATAAGCGATAAACGTTGGTGTGCAAGAAGCGTCACCCAAGGCGCGCGCAGACTTCCAGACAAAGTTGCATACAAGACCAACGCAAATGCTACCATATACGTACATGCAATGTACGCGAAAATGCACGTTGGTAACAATAGTGAGGTTGGCAAAGAGAATGCGTCTCACGTTTGCCCTGTGCAACATGTGCATTTTTTCATTTCCTTGTTCCTCGCATTTTCTTCCCCGTCCTAACCCGCATCAGACTCAAGCGTGTGTTCATACAGCGGCAACATTACCTCTCGTTCACTGTACATTCAGCCATCTTCGATTTTTTAGCGAGTTCTGGGGGAGAACCATACAGTGCCATTTTTTTTCCGGGGGAAACAGTTAGCATCGAGTTGGACAAAAACAAAACACGTGTCGGTGAGTAGATGGAAACAATACCTAGAAGCAAGAGTGCATGATGAAAGAACTCGAGAAAAGGGCGGCATCAAGCAAGGGCTGCGGGGACGGAAAGTTCTCGAATGAAGCGAACAAAAATAATAATTTCGGGTCATTTCTTCTGACGTTCTAGGCGGCGGCGGCGGCGGCGGCGGCGGTGGCGTCTTCGAAAAAACAACCATTTTGTCCCGCTTCCAACAACAACAGTGCCCCCCCGTACCATGTACAATATATTACCGTGCAAAGAGGTGGAATCCCGTGGGTAAATAGGTCTACCTGGAAGAAAACCAGCCGGCCAACACACGGGTTGTGAAATGAGGCGCGCCTCTCTATGTACAACAATACTCTCTGGTAATACTGCTGTGTGCCTCCCTATGTACAATACTCCTGCATTTCTGCTGTACGCTTTCCCCTACGTACAGCAATGACAACACTATTTCTTCGTAACACTGCTGCGTCGTTTCGCTTACCTCGCGTTGGTCAGAGACACGCGATCGGATTCGATCAACTCGGGGAAAAGGGCGCTGTCCACCCCCGCGCTCCGGCTGTGGATCCATGCCAGCTTGGGCGCCAGGGGGAACAACTGGCTCAACAGATCCTTCTTTCCTGCCAAGTGCGCGACGTCATGTTCATGGATCGCGCCCGGAGATTGACGAGAGTGGTCGGTGGTGTCCACGCGGGGGCAGGGAAGTCGGGGTTGCTTTAGCCTTTCCACCATTGGTCACGCGTCCCCTTCGAGATGGACCACCATTCCCGCAACGCGAACAACCGGCCACTCTCCACGTTGCTGCCAAATATTGCATGGGATCATACCGTGACCCCGATACATGCTGCTCCTCTTTTGGATTTTGCTGCGACCAGCAGTTACGTCCTACAGAATAATGAGATCGCTTTCTCCACTGTTGTCCGATGTGCCAGATGTAGCCACATCACACTCCATCTACATTCCCCAGATCGTGCGGGATGGGGCGGGGGCGGGGTGGGTTGTTGGTGGTGAGAGGGAGCGCTACAATTCATTCGCCAATCTTCATTCACTCCACCGCCCGGAGATATATCCCGAGTGAAAATTCAACCAAGGGAATAACAACCATGTGCATCCGCCTTCGCTTGTCACGTGCTCTGTTCCCTGCTTACGTTCCTTGCTGGCACTATTGCTGGATGCGTTGGTTTCACAAGGTGCCTGTTTCAGCCTCCCATATTCCCCTGCCCCTACCACGCTAAATAACACCTACTATCGGGGTGCTGAAAGCTACCAACCTATGACGCTCACGCTTCAAAGCATCTCCGCGGAAACAGAAAACAAATTACCAGCCATGCACGAGTTTGGAGTCCCCCCTCTGTCTAGTCGCAATCTCCTTGAAAAAGGCGCACATTTCGTCCCCCCGCCTCCTGTCTACAGACAGACAACCGAAGTAGCCATGTTCGTATTTATTGCCGTTCTCTTTTTACTATAGGCGCGGTTGTTACTTCTTGAATATGTCCCAAAAAATGCGCCGCCGCCCACTGGTGAGCCACCTTTGGCAACGTAGGAAGGAACGATTGGCCATCGGTGATCTTCGGTCCTGTGGGAACAATGCTCTAACCGCTCGAGGACGCGTGGTCAACGCTCTAACCGCTAAAATCATGCACAACAAAAGAGTACGCCCCACCCGCCCACTGGTGTATGGGTCACCCCGATGCCCTCACCCCCACAGTTGAGGAGCACGTTGGCCTCCGCCAGAGCCTGCTGCGCCTCGGGCGTCGAGAAGTCCCCCATGGTCGCACCTCGAAACAGGACGGAGGCCGAGCCGTCCTTGGGCAGCCTCTCGAGCTCTACCAGCGTGGGGTCGCCCTCCCTGGCGACGACGATGACCTTCGCCTGCCCGCCGGCCGCGGGGCCGAGCCTGTTCCACGTCCGGTCCAATTATTTCGGTGGCGGGGTCGTTTCGTTGTTCGACGAGAGTGAGGGTTCGGGGTTGGGTGTCTTGGCGAGAGCCAACATGAGCGAACTGCCCGCGGTGCTGACGGTTATTAACCGCGGTAGGGGCTGTAGCGCGAACACACAGCAGTGACAGTGACGACCCCGGAAAAGGCCGAGGGGTTTGCTGGTACCAGCGGCATACCAGCACATGTACGGTACAGGAAGAAATAGGAAACGCACGCGTCTTCAATACCATGTCGGCGGACCGGAAAAGGCGGCGGAATGCTCATGATGTGCTTCCCGCTGCCGTTGATATCCTCACCACACTAAAGGGTACCCACTTTTGCCTTGTCCTCTTACCAGCTGCTCGAAGAGTCGGGGACACCCACGGAGCACTCAATCTTGGATTTTTATCGTTGACATTGCACGCAAATCGAAGTGAAAAACCACGTCGTTCAGCCGGTTTGGGGGGGACCCTGACGCGATCTCTTCGATGGATCCCATTTTGTTGCCGATCGACGCCATATCTCGCATTCTGACGGTAATAATCCAAACATAAATAAGCTAATCCGTAAGTGAGTGTTGAAGTGTTCGTGAGCTACAAGCAGGGGGTTGGCCATCTTCCGCATTGTTGGCAAGCTCATAGCCTGACTTTTTGCCGAAAGTCCTCATGAGCGGCATAAAGAGACACTGCAGAAGTTGAGTTTGACCAAAGAACACTTGCTCACAGTTAAGGATCCTACAGCAGTAGAATCCATAGTCGCTGTTGGGTGGACCCCAACGAGCCTGTGGTACGAACTGCTGTACTGCTGCTTGGAAGGCCGAACACCTCGTACGTCTTTCGGCCTGTAACAACCTTGCATCGTTCAAGAAGGATGAACAAACACCGTCACGCGATTCGATTCGACTCGAGATACAGCAGTACAGCACAGTTTCGGCACACTAAACTTTAGTTACAGAGAGGTTTCGGTACCGTATTACGATCCGGACGGAATAATCGCCTTCCTGAGGCGGGCCACGTGAGCCTCAAACTCGTTAACCCCTTGTTTCCTTTTGGTTCTCGGGCCTCTTTCTTTTCGCGTTGCACGTCTTTTCAGACACACTATTTACCCTCTTGCAGGTTGTCGCAGTTTGCTCACGAAGGAAGGCACCCTACTGCCACATGCGGGCGATGACATGAAACACATTGGAGAATTTCAGCACATGTAGATGAGAAAACGAGAGAAAGTTGTACTGTGCCTTTACGCATTTCAGAGCTATTACTGTATATGTTCAAGACCGGGAACCCCACCCAAGCACAGCACAACACAGACCCACGATGCTCGCTGCATGTCGCATCGGACATTACTGCATGTTCCTTCAGCGGAGTAATTCTGGCGGGCAATTTACATGTTTTGCCTTTTCGTTTTCATGATGACTCTCGGACCACAGCCGCTGCTCTTGGCTCCATGCATCTCACCTGCAAGAGTATCCCATAGTTGCGTGACTAGGCACGTATTCCCACGTAACTCTCTCTAGCCAGCGTGGGGCAGGAGAGACTTGTACACAGCATGCTCGGAGGGGTTCCGGTGAATCATCATCATCCGCATGGGGGAGAGGATCCAGGTCAGGTCTCCGGTCTGGCTCACCCTTGCACACGTGACGTGCTTGACACTTGACACGCATCTCGGCGCCCACTGTGCATATGAGCACGTCGTCCGTGGTTGCGGTATGAGGCGGACGGCCATAACCGTAGTATTTGTTCAAGTACTGGCTCGATTCAGCTGTGTGGCGACTGTTGAGGTGGGTGTAGCTGGAAATAGCCACGTGTAGAGCATGTGACCATGAAGTGCAGCAAAGCTTGTGTGTGTTCGTCTCAGGTTGTCTTGATGATGTCCTTGTGGGTGTACCGTCCTTTGTGTGCCTGCGAGCACCATCTTGATGCTGAAGTTCGTGGTGCTGACCTTGTTTTACATTAAGCTCTTGGCGACCGGCGGTTGGCAGTGCCATCTTCGGCGGTGTCGTGTCAACGTACATATGTACATAGTCCATGCATACATTTACCCATTCATTTTTGAAATTGTCATTATAATAGTTTTGCCGTCCGTCAACGTAAACTGGCTCGCTCGACGCTCGACCCACCGGTGTATTTACATACTTCCTCCTGGCTCTATATCCGTACTTAATCCAATACCCTTCCCGCAACCTTCCCGCCATTTCTAACTGCTCCTAAGCATTGTTATCAGTGGGGGACACCATGAAGCGCTCGTGTGTGCTTGCACGTTCAGGTTTGCTTCTTGGGTGGTGATATCGAGGATCGTACATAGTAAATAGTCTACACAACCTCCACAAATCTCCGCAAATTAAACCGGCACCCAGTGACTTGTACTGCTTGTGCTCGCCGCCATTGACCCCAATCTCCTGCGGGTCCTCAGCAGTAGCTGGTGTGTGTCGGTCTAATTTGCGGAGATTTACGGACATTGTATGCTACAGCAGTAGGCCATTACTACGGTACGATCCTCGGTATCACCACCCAAGAGGAACCTGAACGTGCCAGCACACACGGCGCCTCGTCATCGCGTCCTCTACTAATAGCAGTGCTTGGGTGCAGTTTGAATGCTATGGAAACTGACCTCCTTGAGCCCCTGGCGTTTTGACTCTGTTGACTTGAATATAGACTGGTGTGAATTTTATCTTGATTTCAAAGGGGGCGTGTTAAGGGAGACTCATGATATAGATGTTTTGAGTAGCCTTTGCTGCCCCCCGTGCGAGAATCAACGATTTCTGTTTGTCCCGATGCTTTCCGATTGGTCTCGTATGACTCGTGTACATTTTCTGGGGCTCTTGCGGTTTCTTTCAAAATCAGCCGACACTTTGGTCGACCATCAAAAGATTAAGGTTTTCCTCGACAACTGAAGAGCTCCAATCAGATATTACACGAAGAATAAATGTTCCTCTGAGGTGGAACAAGCGCGTTCCATTACGAGAAGCTTGAACAACTCGGAATACATACACCTTGCAAAGAACCGCACTCCCAACAATAGGCATTCAATGTTTATCGAGGTTGCCACGTACAGGATACGTACGGCCGTCAGTGTTGTAGATACATGGTCGATTCCGTTTTAAGACGACCTACATTTACAGTAACGCCCACCAGAAGAGATGCATTGCAGTAAAGATGCATTGTTTCCCTCTTGGAAAAATTGAAATATTATTTTATGTTTCTTTTGTTCCATAACCGAAGTGCGTGTGGAACGATGATGCGTGAAACACAAAACAGCAATAGCCATACGGGCGAATAACACCCAACCAACTCCCGCAGGCCTGCCGCAAACAATGATGTCATTAAACCATCAAATATATGTTGTGCACAACAACTTTAACCTCCTGCACGCACAACTGGGCACGCTTACCCCGCAGGCAAGGCGAGATGCCCTCAGCCCCGATGACGCCACCAGTACCACTGCCGCGACTGCAGGCGGCACAGGGCGAGTAATCCAGCTTCGGGCAACAGAGAGTGATGTCAAGGCGGTCGCACGCCACTGCGTCGCCGTGGACGAAGACGGACGTTTCCCGGCAAACCACGCGCTCGGACTCTTCGAAACTGAGCCCGGACGGT